GAAAGATGAAGAGGAGGGGAGGAGTTAGATTTGTAGGTGACACTAAAGGAGCGCTTAGCTAGGTAGGAGGAGAACCATGAGAAAGCAGCAGAGAGGTCTAATAGCAAGAGTAAGGAGTAGTCGCCATTGTTTTTAGCAGTTAGTAAGTACATTGAGCCCCTGCTTTAGTCCCTTGGAAGGGCAGTTTTTTTTTTATTTCCACACCCCTGCTTGTATATGGTGTATCTTTTGAAAACATACAATAAAATATTAAAATATTAACAGTAACTAAAATATACATCTTTTATCATAACAAAACAGGACCCAGAAGAGCTTTAGACACCAATCACACTTAGGAATCGGGCCAATTGGACGAGTCTCACTAATTGCACTGTGAGACGTCGAAGAGCTGCAGGCAGGAAGCACTGTATAAAGCAATGACAGCTGCCAGCACATGCAGCCATTCACAGGTAATCGTACATGTTGCGATTACCTGCAAATCACTTTCCCTGGACGCAAACAGTTTGCGTCCAGGGGCAATCATCCACAGGTATTTGCAGTAGGGCTGAAACAACTAATCGATAAAGTCCATAATTTTCGATAAAGAAAATCAGTCAACTATTTGCATTATAGATTAGTTGGTCACTCAACTGGTTGGGCTGCTTGCACCCTCACTCACTCCCCTTCCCCACGTCACTCACACGCTGGTGAACACTGACTGTTCAGGCACTGCCGGAGGATCCGCGGCCTCCTCCTCCCCTGGATGATCTCCTCATCAGTGGGATGAATTGAGCCGTTCCAGGGTCACCCAGAGTCCCTGCCCGGGATGATCTCCTCCACGGAATGAATAGGACTGTTCTGCCCTCACCCGGAGTCCCTCCCTTGGATGACTTCCTCCTCCCCGGGTTGTATAGGGCCGTTCCTGCGTCACCCGGTGTTCCGGGAGAGGGGACTGTTGCCAATCGAGATCAGTGGCCTCCCCCATGTCTCATCCTCCTCTCTGGGCTGCTCATAGTGGACTGGCTGACTAGAGATGTGCAACAAGTGTAAGTAATGTGTACCATGTGCTGTATATGTGCATGTGTAACGTGTGCGTATTATGTGTTGCAATTTATTAAAATGTTAAATACAGTTTTTTATCCGATTAATTGAAAAAATAATTGGCTAACTAACCGATTATGAAAATATTCATTAGTTGCAGCCCCAAAATGCAGCACGTACAATTACATGTAAATGGCCGCAAATAGCTGCAGTTTGCAAGTGTGAATAGGGCTTCAAACCCTTTGCATTCATTTTTTTTTAAACATATGTAATATACATTAGGAATGCACCCAATACCGAGTATTGGGGTGAATCAAATGCTCTGATACCCTACCTTGATACTGGCAGTACTGTGAGGGAACATGGAGTCGGCTTCCCAGCCAATCAAAAACTCAGGGACCGTGTTATGACCCACCTCCCTGCTTCCTGATTGGCCAGGAAGCAGGCTCCATGCTGATTGACTGGGAAGCCGACTTCCCGGCCAATAAGCATGAGCCGGCTACCCGGCCAATCAGGAAGCCGTGCGGCAGGTAATGACACGCCGCCCGGCTTCCCGATTGCCCGGGAAGCCAGCTCCATGCCAGCGGAAGTACCAGTATCGGTACTCAGTATCGGCGAGTACTGAAAGATATATAATCAGTACTGGTGCAAAAAATGTTCTCGCCCCCCCACTCAGGAGCTCTTCATCGCCCACTCCACTACAGAAGCCCATCGCACCAGCTGCACCGGAGCTAGGTCCACCCCTGGATCTCTATATACATAGTGGGGAGTATAGCACACAATGATCTCTATATACACAGTGGGGAGTAAAGTGAACACTGATTTCTATATACACAGTTCCAATAACACACACACACTAATCTGTATGTACAAAGTGGGGTGTATGGCACAATCTCTACCGTGTTTCCCCGAAAATAAGACACTGTCTTATATTTTTTTTGGCTCAAAAAAACACACTAGGTCTTATTTTTGGGGTAGGTCTTATTTTTTAAATTTTTTTAATGTACAACAATCCACACTTATTCACGTAGAAAAGTCTACATGTATTCATGTACAAAAATATGGTGATCAGGGCAATCACGGGTGCTGTACCTTTCCAAGAGCAACTTGCTAACCAATCACTGGCCAGAATGAGCGAAGCTTTCACAATGGATTCCTCACAGGCGGAGTGCATTTTGTATCAGTCTGCCTGTGACAGGAACCGGCGCTATAGAGGAGGCATTGGCTTATGCAGCTCTGCTCCCTCCGGTGCTGCCTCGCTTCCTCTAGCGCTGGCTTCATTGGCACCGCTGATTCTCTCCTGCCTCTCCCGGGGCTCTTCAAGTTCCCCCTTATGCCACCACCGGCCCTGGGAATGGTCACAACTAGGTCTTATTTTTGGGGTAGGTCTTATATTTTAGCAAGTCCCACAAATAGTACTAGGTTTTATTTTCGGGGTAGGTCTTATTTTCGGGGAAACAGGGTATATACATTGATCTGTATATACACGGAGATCTATATGTACACAGGAATTTCTGATCGGTACCGGCTCTGATTGGCTCCCCGTACAGCCCCGATTCTTTACGTGGATACATTACATCTTTCACATGCTCTTCTCCATCTCCAGCTCTCCTCTAGTTCTCCAGGCGCCTGCGCACTGCTTGCCTGGATCTCCCCTCTCCTCTGCCTTTTACTAGGAACAGGGCCTTGAGTCGGAGTGGGAACCTGTCGGACCCCACCCTCCCTCTCAGAAGCCCTGTTGGACCCCCCTAAACCCCCCTCACCAGGTCCTAGGGACTCTGCACTGCCCCTAGAGCTGCAGCTAACGATTATTTTCAAAATCGATTAGTTAGCCGATTATTAAGTTCGATTAATCGGTTAATCGGATAAAAAATACATTTTAAAAAATGGCTCCAGTGATGGGACTTCTAGTTTGTATTGAGATTGCAGCAAGCTTGGAGCGGTGGAAGTAAAAAAGAAAGTGTGGTGTACAATATAGTGAAATGAAAATTGTAAAATTATACAGCAATGAATGCAGAATGGCACCGGCTATAGAGGACTACAAAACCCAGCAATAGTACATTATACAGCACAATGCAGAATACCACCAGCTATAGAGGAATACAACAAATCCCAGCAATAGTACATTATAGCTGGTGGTATTCTGCATTGCGCTGTATAATGTACTATTGCTGGGTTTTGTAGTCCTCTATAGCTAGTGGTATTCGGCATTGCAGCACTGTATAATGTACTATTGCTGGGATTTGTTGTACTCTATAGCTGGTGGTATTCCGCATTGCTGGTGGTATTCCTTGATTTGTAGTCCTCTATACAGCGCAATGCAGAATACCACCATCTATATAGGAGT